TCAGTACGGGTAAAAATAAAGATTCGGCCACTCGACCATTCGATCCATAACAATTCGTCGAACTTGGAATATTGACGATTAAGCCAGAGCATGAAATAAATATAGGCATCTGTGGCCAGAGGCGACGAGAATAAATAATCATTTGAAACTAACTGTAAAGCAGTGTAAGCATTAAGAAATAATACATTAAATTTATGTTCAGAAAATAGGAATTATTTTAATGGGTGCTTGGAATTGCCGAAAAATACCGAAAAACATTTGAAATACAATGAAATATTAAGGCTGTGATTAAAATCAGCAATATAAACAATTCTCGATGGTTATTTAATGACATGGGTTCAATAACATCAGTTTTAAATCGGTAATATATCATAAAATACGCTGATGAAAGTGTTCGCTGAGCCTGCGTCGCACAAAAAGCCGAAAAACACATGCCATAGGCAATAAAAAATGCTAATTTCCATTTTAATCACTAGAGTAATTGTTTTTCACAATTCCGATCAATAAATTTATCAGTTGTCAGCATTATATCGAAAAGAACGCACTATAAAAATGTTTTTGGAAACTCAACGGGTAAGCTAACAAAAACATGGAAAAGCCGAAAAACACTTTTTACGGGCGATAAATTGGTATAATTCCAACAAAATTAGTTTTATCTACTGTTTTCTATCCTTTAAATGATTAGAATTTACTTTCCCTTTGCAACCAGTGTAAATTAGAGAATGATTTTACGATAGGAATTATTTTAATGGGTTCTGTATTAAATGCGATATGAAAGTGTTTTTCGGCAACGTAACAGTCATGGAAAAGCCGAAAAACACATTTTTACGGGCGATAAAATAGTCGTAGTTAAACAAGAGCCGCTATTAAATATTTTTCAACCTTTAAAATGAATAACTATTACATTTTTTTTTGTTACCAATGGAAAATGTCAGTAATATTATATTTATAAATACAGTATGAAAGTGTTTTTCGGCAACGTAACAGTCATGGAAAAGCCGAAAAACACATTTTTACGGGCGATAAAATAGTCGTAGTTAAAACAAGAGCCGCTATTAAATATTTTTCAACCTTTTAAATGAATAACTATTACATTTTTTTTGTTACCAATGGAAAATGTCAGTGATATTATTTTTATAAATACAGTATGAAAGTGTTTTTCGGCTACGTAACGGTCTAGCGTCAAAAACATGGAAAAGCCAAAAAGCACATTTTACGGGCGATGAAATAGACATATTTAAAATAAGAGCTATTAAATAAATTTTTCAACCGTCTAAATGAATAAATATAACATTATATTTGTTAGCAATATAATATATCAGTAATATTTTGTAACAAACATTGTATGAAAGTGTTTTTCGGCTTTGTTACTGATGCCTAGCGTCAAAAACGTAGAAAAGCCGAAAAACACATTTTACTTGCGATAAAATAGATATATATTTTAAAAAAATGCTGCTAAATACATTTTCTCACCCTTTACATGAATAACAATGACATAAATTGTATTACCTTTGAAAAATGTAAGTTATATTTTTGTAATAAATACAGTATGAAAAACTTGTGTTTTTTTCGGCTATGTAACAGTCAGCGTTAAAAACATGGAAAAGCCGAAAACCGCATTGGACGCGCGATAAGGAAGGTATATGAATAAAAATACCCATAAAATTAGACTTCTCAATCGTTTAAATAATTAACTTCTACTTTTTATTTGTTTATAGTAAAAAAAAATAATCTTGCAGTCGTTTTTTGAACGTACGTAGTTTCAATAGAGTAAAGAACGTACATACATGTATATAGAAAAGCAATAATTTATTGCTGATACAATGGCTACACATCATCTAAATCATTACGCAGTATTTATTTTTATTATGTTATTATTCATTTCAGTGGTGAAACTTATAGGCTTAAAGGTCAAAGATTTACATAGTCTGTTATAGGGTATATTTGTGTCCAGTCCATAACTTTTTCATAGATCAAGGGATTTTAAAAATACTTTGGACAAATAATCACAATAATAATACGATATGTCAGGCGCAAAACATTGGTCCTTACCTCCAAGGTCACTTGAGAGGTCAAAGATTAACATAGTTTGTAATAGGGAATATTTTGTGTCCCATCTATAACTTCTTCTAGTTAAAGGGATTTTTAAAATACTTGGCACAAATAGTTACAATAATAAGAGGATATGTCATACACAACACCTGCACCCGTACCTCCAAGGTCAAGGTCAGACTTAGAGGCCAAAACTTAACATGATAAATTTTTAAATTTTGTGTTTCATTTTATTTCTTTAATAAATTTATTGTTGCATTTGCAGATCTAGCATTGATCATAATTTTGGACAGAAAGTCCTGAGATCTATACCTCAATCTTTTGAAATAGCACAATTTTATGCTTCATATAAAACTTCACCGAGGCGGGGGACGTTAGTAACTCTGTTACAAATTCTTGTTATAATACTATGACAGTATGTTAAAAAGTGCTAGACCCAATCTGTTTGATTTCCCAAGATCGATTGTACATTGTGGTTGGTTGAGTATGTGATTGTACGTAGTGATTGGTTCGGTATGTGATTGTACGTAGTGATTGGTTCGGTATGTGCCTGATTCTACGGTGTGACTGGTCGTGCGTGTATATGATTGTAGTTTGACTTTGCATATGTGTACATGATTATACAGTGTGACTTGGCATGTGTGAACATAATTGTACAGTGTGGTTTAGCATGTTTGTACATGATTGTACAGTGTGACTTAGCATGTTTGTACATCACTTTCTCCCTTAACACCCCTGTATATAAATACTTTTTAATTCATAAAATCATTTCGCTAATACCCTTAAAAGTTACATATAAAATTCATGATAATAAAATTCCTTTACTACAATACATTGTAGGAGTCTGTACACCTGAAATTCCAGGCTGCTTTTAAATTGGCAAGATCAATATTATACCACATAGGCATTAAATCCATACAATTTTAATTCCTGTTTTCTATATCAATAGCAATATTCCTATTTTAACCTATTAATAAAAAATATCTTTATAAAAGCACTATAAAAGCACCATACTCAACTTGTTGTAAATATATGCATGTATTGGAACACATATAAAACTACGTAAGTAAAAAAAAATACAATTCAACTAATGACTAGCTTAGTTAAAATTTTAAGTAAAAATTATCTTCTATACAGCATAAAACGTCTACATTGCAGTATTTGGTAGCAGGCTTTGGCATAATATTTAACTATTTCAAAGTTGTTTAGTAAATAACATAACTTTTCCGTGTCAGACAGTGTATCAATTGACGTGTTTTCACCAACAAATCTTCTCTGATATCATTATATATCGGGCAGTGTAAAATTACATGAATCTCATCCTCAACATTTGTGGTACAATTGAAAAATGTTCTATCATTTACATGCAGATTCTCATAACGGCCTGTCCCTAACCGAATAGGCGCAACACCACAACGAAATTTTGTCAAAGAACTTCTATGATAAAAGGGTAAATTTTACTGGAGGTATTTTTCAACAACATGATTTTCTTTAACAATCTATATGTTCTAAGTTTATAACCACCAGTATTTCTATTGGAATCATTCCTATTTAGTGACTGTTTCCACTTATCTAATTCAACTGACCGTAACTTGTTCTCGACCATTCCAACTATTCTCTTAGCACTAAAACATGTACATCATTCATATTTATCTCAATATTTCTTAACATCTTACATATTCTAAAATACTGGTTCTTACATCTGAAAGAAGCACTCCGTCTTGCCCAATCAAAGGTTTTTTGGTTAATTCCACCACTATCCATTTTTGACATTCTGCAGAAGTGACTGACTACAGAACCCCACTGCTTAACTGTTGATGGTTTCAAGCCCATTTCCCCAATTACCGCTGCATTAGGCGTATATTTCCCAACTCCATAAAAATATCTCATTGCTCGATTTTGGATAGCATTTATGCAGGAAAATGAGCGGTCACCCCATTACATTTATCATTTATCAGTTATGTCATGTTAAATGTTAATCAACCATGTGTATCCGACGATGACATTTAGTTGTTAACACTCTACTGGTCATTTAGTTTGTCAACACTCTAGTGGTCACACTTTTGCCCCAATTGTCTCAAAACTTAGTAAGAATGTGTGTGACATGTTTTGGTCTGAGTTTGAACATGGATCACCTTGGTTAGAAGTAGGTCACAGTAGCCAAAAATAGAAAAATGTTTTAGCTCAATATTGTTATGTGAATGGTCCATCTTAAGTTAAGAAGTTGGTAACACAGCTTGATTATGGAAAAAAACTTGTTAACTTGCTGTCCAATATAAATGAATTTCTTGGAAAGGTTGTATATGAAGACTATATGTAACAATTATTGAATAATGAAAATATTACAGTACATTTGAATTGATTTGATTATGGGTTTCATTTTTATTAATAAACGATAAAGTAATTCATTTGAAAATTAATGTGTAGATATGAATACAACACACCAGAATATATATATTAATGCATCAAAGTACAGTACATAGATCTGTAACATGGAAAGCTGTACAAAAGGATGTACTATAATTTGGTAATTAAGTCTTGTAGGATGATTCAATTAATTGACTTTGTATAGAGTTAAAGCCAGAACCAGGTCATGTCTTTTATTAGATTAAGATAGCATCACTGAAGACTCAATATTAATGTTTCAATATTCTATACTGCGGTCCATTTAACGGGTGTTTAAAAAATGATTTCTTTATTGCTCATCTATCAGCTTGCCTATCAATACACAGATGGAACATCACATCTTCCTTGTCTCATTAATAACTTTGGAAGGAAAAAGCATTGGTGTGAGTCACTTGTTAGGGACATTGACATTGGTCAGAAGATGACCCCTATTGTTTTTGAGGTCAGTAGGTTAAAATCAACATGGCTTTGATGACAAAAATGGATTAAATTATCAAGCAATGTATACTTCAGTGCTTTCAGTGCTTTGATTTTGTTTGCAGGTATCGGATGGGGTATGGTCACAATCAGCGGTCTTGTGTGTGTCTACTATAACGTGATCATAATGTATTCCATCTACTACATGCTCGTCTCGTTCGTCAACCTTGACGGTGAAGTACCATGGATAGATTGTGACAATCCATGGAATACTGAGAACTGTAGAGCAGACCCATATCCTGATTTTGACAGTATGACAGACAACGTCACAAAAGTTGATGAGCTCATAAGTAAGTTAGTTTACATGCATATACATATATATTTAAAATTTATAAAATGTAGTTTTAATTGTGTGGGCCTGTTTAATGAATAGATATTTATTTGACAGTAATATAGTTTGAAAGAACGTTGTTTTGATTATATTTCTATTCACATAACAGAACTAATTTATTAGAAACTTATAGTATTCAATCTTGTCACTTTCTCAGATAAAATTGTTGATGCTCTCCATCAAATCTCACATAAATAATATATGGTTGATAAACATCTTTTATAGAAATGATGAATACTAAATGCTTAAATACAACATTAGCTTCTATGAATATGAAATGGCAAAGTGTATATGAATTGGGATACGATGTAATCAAAACTAATTTCTCTGACTGTAATCGAGTCCTGAAGTTGCCAAGCGATGAATATTGGAAGTAAGTTGTGTAACTGAATTCTCGAAAAAGGTAACCTCCACAATGAATGTATGTTGTTGTTTTGGTTTAATTTCCAGATCAGATCTTTCGCTCTGCAAATGCAGTTCTTGAAATTAACTTTAAAGATTTAATTTTATACTTTCCAAGTTACTAAAACATTAACATGTAATCCTCCTATTCTCAAATTTTAACAGGTTTCAATTAAAAACTTGTCAGATATAATCTTGTTACATAACTTATTTAGCTAATGTGAATGAAAGATAGATGCGATTTTATTTTGCTAATATTTCATTGAAAATCAGAATCACTGAAACATAGCCATTGAGTTATTTCTTTTTCTTTTATAAGTCGATACGTTCTGAGACTTCACGAATCTGACGGAATCGACAATATCAACGGTGTCAGCTTGAAAAATGTCATGTGCCTTTTTCTGGCCTGGATAATTATTTTCTTCTGCTTGATGAAAGGAATCAAATCATCCGGAAAGGTTGGAAAATTTTGTCTTTCGAAATTCTTTGTTAGTCTGGTTCTTTAAGGAAGTAAGCAATAGACTACTATTATTGTGTTGATTAGTTCAATTAGTAGTCAAATTAAGACATCATTGTTTTGCTAGCATATTCTTCGGTATTTTTTTTTCTTTTTTTTAAATGTGTATTGCAAGTTTTTTCCATTTGATCAGGTTGTTTACTTTACGGCAACTTTCCCGTATGTTTTACTGACAGTGCTGCTTGTGAGAGGTCTTACCTTGGACGGTCACAAGGAGGGTATACATTTCTATATCATACCAGAATGGGAGAAACTAAGAGATCCTAAGGTATATCTTACATATTATTTTATTACAAATTGTTTGTTGTTATAGTAACCGTCTAATTACCTATATAGTGGACTTTATTAAAGTGTATAGAATTGATCGTAAATATGCATTGAAAATTATAGAAGGTTTAAAATGAGGACAAAATACAATAATTAAGTCGATCATAATTCGAGAAATTTATTTTTATTTTTATTTGTATAAAGGCATTTACGCCATATGCTTTATATCAGACATGTAAAATAAAGTTACATAAGGCCTTATATCACACATATATCCACACTCATGTCTACAAGTTTTAACCATCTTTGGTCAAATGATAATATACAGCACTTTATCTATATTGTGAAAGGTGTGGTCAGACGCTGCCACACAGATATTTTACTCACTAGGACCAGCGTTTGGAAGTCTTATAACGATGTCCGGCTTCAACAAGTTTAAGAACAACTGCTGGTTGTAAGTATAAAATAACTCTAAATATCTTATGTAGTAAATAATATAAATACATGCAGATTATTAAATACATGGGAAAGGAACTTCATCACACAGCAATGACACGTCAACTTATATTACGTCATGATTATGTCAAGGTTTATAACTAAGTGAATGGGTAAACCATTTATAGCTCGACTTTTTTCGAAGAAAAAAAATAGAGGTATTGTTGTTGTCATGTCGCGTTGCCGTTGCCGTCCCCCGTGCTTTAACCTTGATCATAAGTTTTTTAAGTTCTTAGTGTATTGCCTTTATACTTGGCTATAACAACCCTTGGGAAAAGACCTTTAGGTAGACTAAGCTAAACTTGACCTTCATTCATAAATGACCTGACTTTGAATGTCAAATGCCTAAATTTTGCTTGAGTTTTGCTGATTGTTTTGCATTAGTGACTATAACTTTTTAATGGATTGTCTTCAAACTTTAACACAACAATCGTTTAGAATAGATCTTCAAGTAATCTAGATAAACGCTGACCTTCACTCATAAATGACATTGACCTTGAAAAATTATATTAATTCTATATTTATTATTATATTGATTATTAAAAATTATTAAAATTATTGATTTTTTGGGTGTAACTGGCTATAACTTTGTTATAAATGAATTGATTGACTTCAAATTAATATGAATTCATGAATATTAAACTCAAATTGACATTGGATCATTAATGACCTTGATCTTTGGGATTAAATTATTGTTTTTTTAAACTGATTTTTGCTATAATTGACTTTTACATAATTTATAAATGGATTATCTTCATACTTGGACAAAATTACCTTTTGGAGAAGACCTTTTAAAAGGTTGAACTGATCTTGACCTTGAGTTTTAAATGACCTTGACCGTCAAGGTCATATCATTGAATCAGGTTAAATTATCAAAATTTTGTTATTTATGTACGAATTTGATTTATACTTAGACAAAACAAGACTTTCTACTAAACAAGTAAATAATTCAGATGTGACCTTAACCTTTAATTGACCTTGACCATCAAGGTCAAATTAATAAAATTCTCATATCTTATCCTATAAAATAAGATTTGGACCATGTTGTGGAACAGAATTAATGCACTAATTCCATCTTGCTTGGTGATATTAGAACTCACATTATGCTTTGTTTCATACTTGGATGCACTATCATGTAATTGCAACTTCATGTGTTCCTTTCTAAACCATCTAACTGACATATTTTGTTACCTTGTTAACATTCAAGGGTTCAAATGATGATTTAAAGGTCAAATTTGAATATGGGTCACCTGGGGTCAAACACTACGTCACACAGCCTTTTTATTTTCCCCTCGTCGTGGGTATGTGGGGGTCGAAGGCATCCCCCTCCATACCTTACAAAGATTTTATTTATCATATATACATATATCCCCCTCCATTCCTTACAAAGACTTTATTTATTATTTTATATATATTATTAGTTATAAAGATTGTGGCCGTATATAAACGGCTATTTGGAAATAGAACCCGAGCCGCTAGGCAAGGGTTATATTGCAAACAGCCGTTTATATACGGCCATATGACCTGTCAACAATCTTTATAACGAATTTATAATACAGCAAGCATCGTGTTTTAGATAAAAAAGTAAGATTTCTTCATAAATCGACAGCAGTCGTGTATATTATAAGTTATAAAGATTGTTGACAGGTTATATGACCCTATATAAACGGCTATTTGTAAATATAACCCGAGCCGCTAGGCGAGGGTTATATTGCAAACAGCCGTTTATATACTGCCATATAACCTGTCAACAATCTTTATAACGAATTTATAATACAGCAAACATCATTTTTTAGAGAAAAAACTAAGATTTCTTCATGAATCGACAACAGCCGTTTATATAAAACTATATAAACGTCACGATTATCCAATGAAAAGCGACGTTACAAACGTGCAGTATTATAAAAAACCAATCTCCTTCGCAGTGATCTCCCCTTATCAGTACAGAGATCTCTGCCATCACAAACATTGAAATATCAATATTTGGATATTTATATTTTTTAGCTTTTTAATTTATTTTTCATTATTTTGTATACTTTTGTTGTTTTTTTTGGATAAAATATAACGAACGTAGGTACAAAAAGTTAAAAATAAAACAGAAAGAGAAAAATGACGTTAGATTTTCTATGTAACGGTCGATATTTGAATTTGAATTTCGACGTTACGTCATGTGACTTTCATCATCATGTGACGTCTGTGAAGGCAGTGATTACAATTCTTCCAAGGGAGGTAATCACTGTGAGGAGTTTGATAAAAAACTATATCAACGTCACGATTATCCAATGAAAAGCGACGTTACAAACGTGCAGTATAATAAATAAATATATATATACTCGACCCCCACATACCCATGACGAGGGGAAAAATATACATGTATCAAATATTTGTTGATTAAGTAACAATTATTGGTTTTGTATTAATTAATTATAAATTTACTTTACTTTAAAAAGAATTAAATGATTTTTTGAACAATTGTCCAATTCATTATGTTATCTTTTGTGCATCAATAATTGAAGAGGCTAATACTAATCCATCTATATTTGGTAAAATATCTATGATATTGAATTTAATGTGAAAATAACATTAAATTCATTATCATAGAATCAATTGATAACAATAGGAGTAAAATTTACAGACGGATTCGTGAAGAGTTTTGGATAAACAAGTTACAAACATGGTCACCTATTGGACTGAATATTAAGACAAAACAAGTTAAATGTTGATGCTGCACATCAATGACGCCGACAAATGATGTGAACAGTCAATCAGCATTGAAAATCGTTCTCTATTACAGTTGAATATCCGAAGCACAAATCAATTGTTTCTCCATGGTCTTGGTATGTGCTCGTTGTTTAATAATAAAGTTGCATATTTTTGTGAAAAAGTAGAACTCACAAAATAATGCCATGTCTGAAATTCGAAACTGTTTTTCTGTTGCGACAAAGATTGAAACACGCCCGTTTAACTCGCACCCATCTAGGACGTGTGACACGATAAACAAAGTGAGTTTTTCATAATTTTTGATGATTACAGACATTTATGTAAAAATATCGGAATGCAGTTAGCTAGCGATGTGTTTTCCGAGTATGCACATGTAAAGATATTGCCTATTGGTCGACAATTTGATGGAAATACCGTGCGACGCAGTCACTTGGGGTAGCTGGAAAACTGGAGACAATCTCTCCGGACCAAATTTAACATTGAAAAACGTCGATTCTGGTGACGTGTTGTGCATTCTAACCTAAAACAGATGCCCACAAGTCTTCAGCGTAAATTATTACATGAATGTCTTCATAGAAAGGAAGATATACCCTTTTTTGCTTTAATCCTCGTTGTGAGCACCATAACCTCGTTGTGAGCAAGACAAGCGCAGTGCGTGTCTGGTTTTAATATGTAATTCAAGTGGGGAGAATACAATTTTCAATCTACCAAAAGCAATCAAAACGTTTTTGCACAATAGTTTCTCTTTGCAATAGTTCTTCTTTGTCTACATAACTTGGCCAGTCTAACATGAATAAAAATCAGGATAAATGCATGTTTATATCACACAGACTGCCCTCTATGTTAACTCTGGCAACACGAAGTATATGCAATTAAATACATAATTTACCTCCCCTTATTAGTTCACCACCATTTGCACAAACAGCAAAACATCTGCAAAATTGTGGGTATAAGTAGTTTTTTTTGTTTACCATTATCTATTAAGCTAAGAATATACTAGTGAAGTGTTAAAAGTTACAATACACAAAATAAGTAATCCTCCGCGAAAAACGATAGTCGCATATAGTAACAGATTCAATAGTTCTCAGCGTTTGTTTGCTCTGTACACGAGCATTTTTCATGATTTTAGTTGCACTGTCTTTCCTAGAAAGCTCATGACAGTCTGTGTTTGACATTTAAATAGCATTTTCATCATGAAATAGTGGCATTTTAAGAAATCTTCTTGACTTCTTAGGTGTTTCACCACTGGTACAATTTTGGGTTAGCTAATTTTACAGTGTGTTTAACTGAAAAGGATGTTTTTGCAAGAGACATGACCAAATTTTTTTTTTTATTTTTATGCATCACTGACAGTTTTTCTAGTAGTTCTAATATTTTTCAGACCAGGGCAAGTACATACTTGATGCCTCGCTTCGGTCTCTCCTTGAACGACCCCATGTCCAATCACTGAATAGAATAGTAGGCCCTACTGCAGTTGGAAGGCCTTGTCCAAAGAGGTGTTGTGCCTAATTATGCATTAAATTGATTTACTAATAAGGACATTATGGCCAATCTTAAATGTTTTTGGACAATTTGACCTTCAAGGTAAAGGCCATTCAGGGGTCAAGGAAAAAAATACAGGTCCGTAGGAAGGTCTTGTGCTAAGGGATGTTGTGTTAAAATATGAATCAAATCCGTTTACTAATGAGGAAGTTATGGCCAATGTTAAAGTTTTCGGACGGATTGACGGACTGACGGACGGACAGTTCAAAACTAATATGCCTCCCTTCGGGATATGCACAACGTCTTGCAAAGAAATGCTGCTGTGCAAAAACGTTTTAATTGCTTTGGTAGATTGAAAAAATATATTTTCACCATCTTTTGTTTGTTTTGGGTTTTACGTCACATCGACACAGTATATGTCATATGGCGACGTTCCAGCTTTACTGGTGGAGGAATACCTCAGGTGCCCTTCCGTGCATTATTTCAGGCACGAACGGGTACCTTAGTAGAACCACCGACGTTCCGTAAGCTAGCTGGATAGCTTCCTCACATGAAAGAATCCAAAGTCCCTGTCGGGATTCGAACCCAAAGAGGTGAGGGGCAAGTGGTTTGAAGTCAACGACCTTAACCACTCCGCCACGGACGCCCCCTTTTTCACCATCTGAATAACATATCACCAGACACGCACTGCGCTTGTCTTGCTCACAACGAGGTTATGGTGCTCACAACGAAGATTAAAGCAAATAAGGGTATATCTTCGTTTCTATGAAGACTGTCATGTAATAATTTACGCCGAAGACTTGTGGGCATCTGTTTAATACGGTCTTCCGTCTGGACACGTTTGGACAATCGTGACATTTTATTTATTCTGTACCCGCGATGCACGATGGTACGATGGTGAAAACGCGATGGCACGATGGTACGATGGTGAAAACACGATGGTACGATGGTGAAATCACGATGGTACGATGGTGAAATCGCGATGGCGCGATAGTACGATGGTGAAAACGCGATGTTACATCGCGTTTTCACCATCGTACCATCGTGATTTCACCATCGTACCATCGCGTTTTCACCATCGTACCATCGCACCATCGCGCTATCGTGTTTTCACCATCGTGCCATCGCGCTTTCACCATCGTGCCATCGCGATTTCACCATCGTACCATCGCGATTTCACCATCGTACCATCGCGATTTCACCATCGTACCATCGCGATTTCACCATCGTACCATCGCGTTTTCACCATCGTACCATCGCGTTTTCACCATCGTGCCATCGCCTTCCGGTGGACATGCGCATTGTACATCTTTATCAACAATGGATGAATGCATAACTATGTATTATGTGAGAGGCTATACGTATCGAGACATTTTAAATATAGTGAGGCTTAAAACGGGATTTGATCTCAGCACAGACTATTTAATAAGTGTTGTGTATTAAGATTCAATCATTATAAAACCTTTATGCACTGTGCTTAATTCATCTTGTCTAGATATCTATAACACAAATTTTTTAAGGTTTTATATCATAAATATGATGCTCAAATTAAGATAAGTTCCAAAAAGCATTATTTGTAAAGATGTTACCGAATTTAACATTTCATGTAAATAAAGGGAGGTAATAAAAATTTATTTTCTGTAAAGTCTAAGTCAAATTTTTCAATAAGAAATGAATGCATATATTTTAATGATTACATATAATATGTATAAATATTTGCAGTACATATTTTACATATTCTCGATGTTTGAAACTTGTTTTATATTAAAGCATTATTATATAAATATATATAATTTCACTGAAGTGTGGTGTTAGCTCAACCGGTACAGCGTTGGACTGTGAATCGGGCGATCGGGTTGGATTCCCCCGACGGGTGCAGGTCACTTTCGTTGTGATTGATCATGAAATCCTTTCTACGGTCATTGACACTGGTCTCTGCTCTGAAAACAGCCATTTTTCACAAAATGCCCATGAAGTAATGGGTTAATAAGTGTTGTGTATTAAGATTCAATCATTATAAAACCTTTATGCGCTGTGCTTAATTCATCTTGTTACGGTAAACAAGATGAATTAAGCACAGTGCATAAAGGTTTTAAAATGATTGAATCTTAATACACAACACTTATTAAATAGTCTGTGATTAATAGTGAGATCTAATCCCGTTTTAAACCTCACTATATTTAAAATGTCTCGATACGTATAGCCTCTCACATAATACATAGTTATGCATTCATCCATTGTTGATAAAGATGTACAATGCGCATGTCAACCGGAAGGCGATGGCACGATGGTGATAACGCGATGGTACGATGGTGAAATCGCGATGGCACGATGGTGAAAACGCGATGGCACGATGGTGAAAGCGCGATGGTACGATGGTGAAATCGCGATGGCACGATGGTGAAAACGCGATGGTACGATGGTGAAATCGCGATGGCACGATGGTGAAAACGCGATGGTACGATGGTGAAAGCGCGATGGTGCGATGGTACGATGGTAAAAACGCGATGGTACGATGGTGAAATCACGATGGTACGATGGTGAAAACGCGATGTAACATCGCGTTTTCACCATCGTTCTATCGCGCCATCGCGATTTCACCATCGTACCATCGTGATTTCACCATCGTACTATCGTGTTTTCACCATCGTACCATCGTGCAATCGCGTTTTCACCATCGTACCATCGTGCATCGCGGGTACAGAATAAATAAAATGTCACGATTGTCCAAACGGAACACCGTAGTTTAAGGTTAAAATGCACAAAACTTAACCAAAATCGACGTTTTCAATGTTAAATTTGGTCCAGAGAGAAGTTGTCTCCAGTTTTCCAGCTATCCCGAATGACTGCGTCGCACGGTATTTCCATCAAATTGTCGACCAATAGGCAATATCTTTACATGTGCATACTCGGAAAACACATCGCTAGCTAACTGCATTCCGATATTTTTACATAAATGTCTGTAATCTTCAAAAAATATGAAAAACTCACCTTGTCCTAGACGGGTGCTCACAACGAGGAACGGATGTTGCTCACAACATTTTAACCGATGGACATTTTTCACTCGTTGTGAGTTAAACGGGCGTGATAGTGTAAGACAAGAAGCTAAAACGTGATTCATGAAAATAAACAGAAACTCCTTGATAAAGAGGGGTTTATCCCATCGAAACGTTGGGGGTTTAAACTTTGTGAAAGTGATAATTATTATTTACATGTTTCCAGAATGATTTTATATTTTTTTCTAAATCAACTTGAAAGTTAATACCAAGTAATCTACTACGTCACACAGCCTATATAATATGGAAAAACCTTGTGAACACTCTAGGGGATTTTTTTCAAGTCCATATATCCTAGAAATTGGTCAGGAAGTTTGTTTTAAGGATTTCTAGGTCAGGTTTGAATATGGGTCTCTTAGGGTCAAAAAGAAGGTCACACAGCCTAAATATGGAAAAAAAAACCTTGTTTACACTCTAGAGATTACTGTTTTGATCCAAATAATGGAAACTGGTCACAAAGGTTGTTTTGATGATTTCTAGGTCAATCACATGGAGCCTTCATAATCAGGTGAGCGATAGAAGGCATGGCCCTCTTGTTTAAAAAGAGAATAACCTTTTTTCTTTTTTTAAAGATTTGCTTAAACCTTTCATTTGTTTGCATTTAGAAAAAGTAAAAAAATGTCAAGCTTTGCCCCCCGCCCAGCAGTGGCTCTTGTTGAAAAATTGTTACAGACTAGAATCTGGGCCGGGGGCATTTCTGTTAAAAACACGTTCTTGTTCAGATTAGACAATGTTTGAAGTCCTCAGAACAATATATTAATTGGTGACAAAATATAATAAAGATCGTTTTAAGACAAATATTCAAGCGTACTTTCACTTTATATGTTACAGAGACTCTGTTATTGTTTCGTTTATCAACTGTGCCACGAGTGTCCTCGGAGGGTTTGTCATCTTCTCAGTGCTTGGGTACATGGCACACCAAACTAACCAAGCCGTCGCAGATGTCGCCGACAGTGGTATGTATAATGAAGCTTCTTATTTTGAATACCTCATTAATTGATTCCTTTGTTTTGTTTTGCTTCGTGAATAAACAAAACTCGATTATTTTGCGATTAATTTATTTAGAATTAAAAACATTCTACTATTTCTTATTTCATGTCATTTTCAAAGGAAAACAGAAAATGATTCCAGGAACTGACTTGAGGGTGTTTCTATACGTTTATACATTAAAACTTCCAACATAATTTAACTAAAATAAATTCTGTATAAACTGAAACAGTAAAAACTGGCATAAAAGATAATAATTTTGTGTTATAGGTCCCGGTCTCGCTTTTGTCGCATATCCAGAAGGAATCGCGAGACTTCCGGTTTCATCCCTTTGGGCCTTCCTCTTCTTTTTCATGATTCTTATACTTGGACTGGACAGTCAGGTACATATTTATATTTAGATAAAGTTTTAAAATGAAGGTTTATTTGATCATCTTTTAAAATAGACGGGTTTGATTTTCAGAAAAGAGCCTCCGTTAAGAGTCTAACGGCATTTTTTAGTACAAGCAGGTAGTCAATCGTTCTTACATAATTCGGGTACGCTGAATCCATTTTTTGCTATACCACGGCTGTACTTGAAGTCCTTGACCTTCTAAAGGTCAAATCAAAATGGCCGCCATTGTCCTTCACCATCTACTAAAAAAATTATCATTTCTGGTACATATCGTATCGTATGTCCGTTAATCTGCATGAAATAAAGTTTCAATTACAGTGGAACCTGTCTAATCCGAACTCGTCCGGACCAGAAGAAAATTTCGGATTAGAAAGGTTTCCGGATTAGAAAGGTTTCCGAATTAGAAGGTTTTTACATGTTTTTTTTTTTTTTTTCATTTTATTTGCAAAAAAGTTTGAGGAAAGAAAACGGGAATGCATTTAAAGTTGCGATTTAAATATTTTATTTTTGCAGTCTCTTATTGTTCATTTTAATACATGTGAATACAAAAATAAAGAAATAAAAATAAAAAATAAGCAAAAATATTATGTCCACAAGGGTAAGTTAACCAACGATGTTAAACAGGAGGCCGAGACATTATTAGATATTCGTACCAGCATTTGTCAATTGTTGTTTACTCTTATCCGATTCAGTGACTATCCGAACTCACTGACAGTTTCCATTAATTTTCATTACTTAATCACGTATCATTGAATCCAATACAAGGGATTAAAAGATATTTCTATTGCATTATATCAAAATATTTATAGAAGCTGACGAAAAGCAATCAATTAAGCAATTATAGAAGATATCAAGGCAAGCTAAGTGTAATTTTCACACCTTCGCAGATCGTACGTTTCACCCATTAATCAAGCGAAATAACACTTATCAGTTTGGTGTATGTTTACACATGCAAGATGTGCGATCGATTATTTGTTATTTTGAATGAAGGTGTGACATTTGGCAAAATCTGTTCGGATCCGAGAGGTAAATTTTAGAGTAAAATAAGAACAAAAATTGAACAAATCGTCCGGAATTCGGAGTAGACAGGTTCCGGATCCGAAAGGTTTTTTACTATTGAAAATCGAACGAATAAAATCGGGACCGGACACTTCGTTCGGATAAGAAAGGATTCCGGATTAGAAGGGTTCGGATTAGCAAGGCTCCACTGTACTTTTAAGAATAATTGGCTGATAATTATACATGCTTTACACATTGACTGCAATGCCGGCCATCTTTGATTTCAAAATGGAGACCCTTTTTAACAAATATAAGTAAAGTGCTTTTAAACAAATGGATCCTTCTGTAGGAATGTGTATCAATAATTGTATAATGATATGAGCAACATTTCATGTCGAATTGTACACACTGTGTAGGTATACTGCACACTTTAATTTATATCATTATTTCAAACTATCACAGGTCATTCTTTTTGGACAATTAATCTTTATCAGGTATCTGAGATCCCAAATGTCTTACATAAAACCTGCACATTTTAATTTACCATTAGATGTTTAAGTTTTCTTTATTTTTATAGAATAGCATTTATGTATACATTTATGGACACTGGATCATTTATAATTTGAATGCCAAGAGTCAAGGTCAGTATGTAAATATTTTAAAAATTGTCTGTCATCTTCATAGGTCAGCGACTATGTCTTTGAGCCCGCATGTCTTTGCAACAATATCAATTGTACGACCCGATTAAAAATAGAAAAAACAACAACAACAACAGAATCCCTAAAAAACGATCAAAACGGCAAAATTGAAAACGTTGTAGGCTCGATTTGATTGAGCCTGTACATGGACGTTACTGGAAATTGCAAGGTACCGCCCAAGCACCTTAGCATCGGCCTAAACAAAATT